CTCAATCGTATACCCATACTAGGTACATGACACATTCCGATATATATTCCCATAGAGACGTAGAGTCTATAAATCCAAGCCTCATTGGATTTCGATTCCAAACGCCTTCCCATCCATTTATCCCTAATATATTTCCTTGTCTATATCCCCCGTCCGCCTAGACCTGTTTCTCCACACCCTTCTTATCACTCCCGCTCACACTCTTCACTGCTAACACAGAAACCACACTCCAGCTCCGCAACCCCAAGAATCAACTCACTCGCGCGCTCCGCCGCCGCCATAACCGCAAACTGGGGATTTGTCGTCACCGGCGCCAAAATACTCGCATCAACCACATGTACATTTTGCATGCCCATGACCGTCGTATTAGCATCCACGCAGCTTCCAAGTCGACAACTCGACGACCAGTGATTAACCATTCCTCGTGCATATGCCGAGGCAGTGGTGATATACGTCTCGATTTCAGCTTCCGTCGCGTTTTGCGGGATATTCATAGATGTGAGGCCGGAGTTTGGGAGGGCGGAAAAGATCGTGTGGATGAATGAGGCGATGTCCTGGGCATCGCGGGGATTGGAGTAGTAGACGTCGTCGCTGGGGCCGGGAATGAAGTTATCGTCTAGGATGACTTTGCCTGATGAGAGGAGACCCGAGGTTCCGTAGATGTTGAGGGTGATGGTGTTGTTGGTGGTGAAGTCGGAGTAGCCGGATGAATCGATGGTTCCTTGGAGACCTGCGATGGAACCGTCGGAGTGCGCGATTGTGGTCCAGAAAACGGAGGTTTCGGATGCGAATGAGTAGGGACCGCTGCGGGAATCGAGATAGAGAGCTTCATCGCCAGCGGAAGGAGAGTCGTAGGAATAAGTGTACGATTCTATGGAATCACCTTGGAGTTCGATGAAGGTATTTGGGTTGTCGAACAGACCGGCTCCAATTGCCGTGTTGTTGATCCACTCTGCACTGGTAAGATTTGGGGATAGTTTTCCTGCAGCAGAAAGTTTGGAGAGGGTTTCTGCGTCGCCGATTCCGGAGTACATGAGGAGAGAGGGACTTTGAATGGCACCGGCGGATAAAACAACTCTTCCTGTTGGTGTAGTTGAGATGATAGTTTCGACACCGTTGATTAAGGCTGTAACTCCAGTAGCGGTATCTCCATCGCGTTCAACTCTTACTACACGGACTCCGCTTTGGAGACGGAAGTTACTGCGTTGAAGGGCCGATTGCAGATATGTGGTAACGGGACCTCCTCTTTGACCGTTGTCATAATCGAAAATCGGATGGCCGAATACGTCAGTTTTGTCGTCGGCTTGAGCATTGATATCAACATCTTTGTAACCCAATCCGTCAACCAACCATTTTCTCGCAGCATCGTATCCAGTTTGAAGATAACGAATGCCATCTTGAGAAGTAAGATTAGTCGAAGGTTGAGTATCGTACAGACGTTGAATGGAAGCATCCATGTTTGTCGAACTCCACTAGATGGGGGGTTAACGTGAATACTTAGATATTGGAAGCACAAGAATTATCACTTACTTCAGCAGGGAAGTATAAATCCCAATCCGAAGCCGGAGGCTCAAAGAATAATCCAGCATTGATAGCTGAACTTCCTCCAATAGTACATCCTCCATAAGCATTTACTTCCGCTCCGCACATGAGACCTCCTGCATCTGCAAAAATGGATTTGTAAAGTCCAGGCACATCGACTCGGGAGAGATTTGTACCACTGAGCCATTCCTATTACAAATTAGAAACTTCCTCAACAATGGGAATTGTGAATGTAAAAACTAACCGGTCTTCTTGCATCTAAATCTCCACCTGTGACTCCATAAGATTGATTACCTCCTTCAAGTAACAAAGTCTTAAGACCTGCTTCTGAAAGTCGTGATGCAACTATACCATAAGAATCAACAAATGCACTTGTGTATCCTCTCAAAAACAAAAAACTTCAATACATACCAACAATTCCCCCAGGTCCAGCTCCCACAATAATAGCATCCCATTGCTCCTGAATCCAAGCATTATCCGCCTGTCCCCAAACACCACTCACCAAACCAACAACCAGAGAAACTTGATATGAGACCTTCATTCTGACTTTGATTTTTCCTTTTCGATTTACAAAAAACTCAATAAAGACACAAGACAAACAGGAAGTAACTTAGCTTGATGCTTATATATATACATATATTGACATCACACATATTTACACCAAACTATACTTACTAACCACTGCATGACTTCACACAGCACAACCAAATTTCCCTATTCACCTGGACTCTGGGCGCCAAGCCCGCCTGTTGTCGATAAAAGCCCCTAAACGATCTTTCCACAGGCATCGCATCGGGGCGCTCCTCGGCTTCTACTGAAGTGCCCCATCAGATACGAGATTTAGATGCTATAAGCTTGTAGAAGGCTGACCATGTACCTTTTAACTCTGCCTGAAACGATACACAATTACCGTATTGATGCCGTACAACTTACATAAGTAGTCCCAATCGTTACACCTTGGCGTCCTTTACCAGAAATATTGGCGCTGAATCTCGGAATAGGTTATACAAATGAAGTCATGGGCTTTTCGTATCCGTGACTTAGTGACAGCTCGGTGGCGGAGCTTGTGTAATAAGTGGAGAAGAATGAGTTGAGATTTCATTCCGAGGCTTAAATCGACTTCAAAATTCAAATCCCTATTTTTGTCTCTTTTAGAAACTAGATGGAATGCAGCATTAAGAAGCAAAAAGCCGATACCATGTTGATCGACGTCAGAACCGTATTTAGATGTTGACCAGGGCCAACAGAACCCTATACTCGGTACTGAAGATATTTTCAACAAATGAGAGTTAAGATAAATGTCGTACCTAATCATTCTCATTCTGCATGCACAAACGCATGGGTAATGCCGAGTACGAGATGGTGGATAGTATGAAATATAGTCAGAAATCTTCCGAGAAAATCCCCCTTCTAGATTCCGTCGATAGAACACAATTTCTTCGGTACCCACCAACTTTAACTTGCCTATTCATTTCCAGGTGAGACTCGTGAGAGTGAACAATATACAAAAAAGTGAAGATCATCTATTCGTCTAATCTTAAGACCTCCCAAACGCCGCCCAATGCAACCATATTTTTGCTGTACATAATCCTACATAATCCTATCGTTTATAACCCTTTACATTCACCCAATTCCCTCCATTATACAATCGATTCCTGATCCCGCTGCGAATTGGAATTTTCTAGTCGCTTCAAGATGTATTGATATAGCACCAACATACAACTACTTTGCGTACTGGTCCACACAAATCTAGGTCCTACTCCTCGAAACAATCCCGTTATTCCTTCTGTTTTGTAGATGAGTTTGAGGCCAGTCGGGACGGAAGATGTATCGAGAATTATGCTACCAGGGCGAGGTGTATGCGTGGAAGGAGATGATGTGGATATTGATCGAACTTGATGTTTTGTAGGTTTTGCAGGCTTTGTAGATTTTGTCTTCGCACGAGTGGATTGAGAGGCGTTTTTCGTAGATTCCGATGTCTGCTTAAGAGTAGACTCTGGACTGGAAATGACTTGAGTTTGAATCCTTGTCTTCACAACATCCAGAGGACATGTAATTACTCCTGCCAAACCTCCAGCTGCCGCTCCCGTCAAGAGTTCCAATGGCAATCCAATATCTCGGCTTTCTTTCCATCTTCTCGCCCAAGTTTGACCTTGCTCGTAGAATGCGAATTGTAATGCCGAAAATGGTAAATCTCTAACAATTGTTGCTCTGTATCCATAGAATAGCGCAGAGAACCCTTCTTGCTTAACTATCGTTCGGGCGGCATGCGCTGTGTTTTTGTAATTGTAACCAGAGTGGAAGAATGGGTTATTGTATCGACCTTGGAGTTGCAGGCGGGTCTTAAGGACTTCAGAAGGTACGTAGACGAAGGAGGCTGCGAAATCGGCGACAAACCCTGAATTGTTAGTTTAATGTGAATCGAACCCGAATTTCTTGAACTTACCACTGGATAGATATGCCAGCCATGGCGGAATGCCATTATCTATCAAATGCCTCTTACTGTACTCATATGTTCCGAAGAATATGATTGTGCCAGGAAAAGATCCAAGAAGAGCAGGAACCCAACCTCCATATAAACCTCTCCGTATTCCTTCTTGTCGCAGAATGGTAGAATATGAGGACGATAGCTTGGTGTACTTTGGCGGAACATGCGGATCACCTTGCTGGCGAGTCTTAACCGTATCCAAAGAATGCATGAGAAGATCTCCTGTGGTTCCACCAATACCCCCAGCAATCATGGCCTACAAACAATCAGTAATTTGCCTGTAGACCGAAAACTCCAGATCTTACATGTAAATAAGGTGGTCGCCCCTCCTCTTCGACCTCTTCCTGTGCCATGACTTTCGACCCGAGTAGTCGTTTTCCCACTCTAACATTGACGTCTTCTTCCCCTCCATCATCAACGATCCCGAATTTGGTGCGATCTTCTGCTGGCGAACCTGCTGATCCGGAGGAAAACAGGTTGACAACACGAGAGGTCAGGGACATGGCCCTTCCTCAATTTCCGAAGCTGGTCGCCTTCCTAGTCCTCAAGTATTCAAAAGAGCGAGTTTTCCGTTACAGCGTTGGTAGGCAAATACAAATCATTTAAGTTGGGTATCACAAATGTTTTTGATGCACTTCAACTTTTTTTGCCGGAACCTTCCACATACGGGTGTGCCTGATTAAGGTTAAGGCACTTTTACATGAAACGTGGGGTTGTCCCGGTGAACCCTTACATCTCTGAGCTACAAGTGTTAATACGAATCGTTAAAACATCTTCTATCTTCCCTTGATTCTGACTACCTACTACTGATTATCTCTTATCATTGACTAGCTAAGTTATTTCTAGAGATAAACATAAATCTTCATCAATGTTACCATCAACTAACCTTTCCTTCCACTCAACTTTTTCTCATCGTTTCATCCGCCTGTGGGTGTCGGTGTCTGCGGTTCGCTGGTTTTCAGTGCCCATATTACAGACATGTTGGACTCTCGAAGAAGTTGTATGGCGTCTGCAGAAAACTTTTCATGTCATTCCGCAGTCTGTGGCTTGCTTTTACCATCAGAAGTGAGGATGCTATTCTTGAATTCCAACTCTGCATTTTGGGAGCCAACCAGAAAGCTGAGCTGTCTCCTTGACGCGCGTGTTGTCGTTTGCGAGCGAAGAAATATATCTGGAGACTCTTCGTTGGATCCAGAGTAACATTTAAGCTGAGGTTGTTGATGAAGCTCATCAGCTGCAGCTGGGAGAGCTGTTGGTGCATTGAGACTTGTGCGCTCGAGTTGAGAGTCTGGGCAGTCACCATAGCGGTCTTGAGTTCACAAAGCTCCTGGAAGATCTTTATAAACTTGTCATCGACCTTATCTTCTAAAATCTCTTGCCTCGGCATGATGTTCTTCATCACAGAGTGCATATCTCGCTGTTCTGCAAAACTACTGACTTAAGCCGTAGTGGAGATACTTTGCGACAGAATTCTAATTTTCTCAATGAGATCGTTGTAGTAAGTTTGGGGAGGCCGCGTGACTGAATGGAGAATATGAAGAGCCCCGCTTTCTTTGAACCAGGACATTGAGACTGAGAAATTTTATGAACTGAGCATAGAGCATGATCATGGATTCACGCATCTGCACTGTGGGGTATAAATTTACTGTGTTCTCTATACGAGGAAGTACGTCTGCTACTTGGCACAATCCATCCATGATTATTGCAAGGGACTTCTCATGATTTACGACTCCCTATACCAAGTCGTCAAACAATGCTCAGTAGCGTTTGAGGGGCTCACACACGACTAAGACCAGCTTCATTGCACCATATACAAGTGAAACATACTCTGGTGCCTGTTGCACTAATGCATCCATGACAGTGCCATAGCAGTGTACCCTTTGAGCAAAGCTTGTGAGACATCGTCGGATCTTGGAATCTCCTCGTCGATCTTCATACTGCAGTTGTGCTGTTGTGCTGTTGACACACACTTGACTGTATCGTCAAGCGTGCTCGGTTTGAGGTCTAAAAAAGATTCTAGCTGCGAGGACTTCTTGGGAAGAGTAGCAACAAACTCGGCTACAGCCTCCTCGAAGATATTCTCGGCCCAAGCAGTGAGCCCGATTCAGTAGCTCATGCGGTGCGACCGCAAACCATTTCGGTCTTCGAAGAGTGGGAAACTGAATCCGCCTCATGCATCTCGTAACACCTTTCCAAAAAATGAATTCTGCCTGACAAACTACTTGTATCTTGAATTTAGGCTAAGCAGTTGCACAATGTCACCAACTGGTCAGATATCACAACCTGTGAACAGAAACAGTAACAAAAGCGGTACCGAAGTTGGTATACCTCGTTATATCTCGCGATCATTGACCTATATGTTCTCTGTTAACGCATAGGCATATGGACTCTGAGATAGCCCAAGCCTCGCGTCCTTCGAGTTTGAGCAAACTAGTGAAGCTCAGTAGAGGCAGTAAGAAGAAGGGTTTGACAAATATATCAGGACTGTACGGACTTGGCGGTCGCACGAACCCCGAGAACGATAAACCCGAGACAGACGAGGAAAGTAAGAAAGACGAGGACGACGACGAAGAAGACAACGAGGGCGAGGGGACCAGACGAGATAAAAACGAAGAACGGAGCAGATCCGCAGGTAGAGCCAACAAATATAGAAACCCAGGATTTGGTAGGGATTTCTCTGATCCCTCATATCCACACGCTGCAGCTAGTTTTGAGACTTTAAAGCCTGAGCAATCTGAACCGGAACTCGAGAGCGTAAAACCGTCAGCTCCACCACAGAACGTTGGCAAGACTCGGATTACGATATCTGATAATTTGAGCACTGATGACAACAGGAAGAATCGGCGTCTCTTGGCTCTGAAGCCCAAATCACCAAAGCCTGCTTCTCCATCAAATCTCGACACATCTGGTGAGGCATTACACCCTTATTATACTAGTTCGAGTGATTCTAATGAAATAGGACCAGAAGTACCAGGAGGATTCCAGGGGAAACACTTAATCGAGGATTATCAGTTGCAACTGATGCTCCTAGAGCAGCAGAATAAGAAACGGCTTATGATGGCCAGGCAGGAACAAGAGGGCGAAGTTTTTGGCGCCAGCGAAAATCGCGGTCCGATAGAGTATGGCTTTAATATACTTCAAGCCAATGGCTACAACTCCCTCAATCCTAGTGATCAGATGAAGAGAGGTCCAACCTACATGAATCATTTCGGTATACCATCATCGCCTCTTCCAGAAGGGCCATCTGCCGGCTCGTATAGAGGTGATACGAACTTTAACTTACGTGGCGGTTCATCTGATCCGACCGTGGACTCTCCATACTTAACCAATATGAACTCACCTAATATGGATATCTTCAAGATGCGTGCTCCAAGTCCTCATCCTGGAGCTGCCGCCAACCAAATGGTATCACAACAAATGGCCCTGATCCAGCAACAAGTGGCCATGGCACGCCAGCAACAAATGGCACAGCAAAACCTACAGCAAATGGCTTTGAACCCTCAAATAGATTCCGTTGTCCATCTGTTCTCAGCCTTGGGGATCGATGCTATCGCTCACAGTATACCATGAACGTCCGCTCCTGGTCATTTGACGATGCCTTCAACCGTGTCAGCACTTGGTTTACATTAGAAATAAAAGGAAGTGAAAAGACAGAATATGCTATCAGAGATTTAAATATCAGACCGATTGCATACGCCAGTGACGAGGATAGAAAAATACTTCAAAGTCGCGGAGAAATGTTTTGGAAGTGTAGAGAGAGGCACTTTGTGTCATATCAGGAGCATGGTCGTGACAATTTACACGGTGCTAGTGAAGAGAGGTATATGATCGACATGAAGACATTTCGCGAGCTCCATCCAGAAGATGAGAGGGAAAAGAAGGCGCTCCACCCAGAAGATGGGAAGAACAAGGCCTCCGATACTTTGGATGAAGACGCCATGGCGCAAGACAGTCCCCCATATCCGAGTTTCGTGTACTTACCTCCTTCGAAGATCATTGGCTACAACGTGCGGCGCAAAAAATGGGTTGAGCTCCATGCCGATTGATTATCCGAGGTGGTCTGGGACAAGAAGGCGTTCAAAAAGCTGGTGCTTGCGCAGAAGACGAAAGACTTGATTGAAGCTTTGATTGTCAATCAAATTGCAGCCGAGAAATCGACGGATCTGATCAGTGGAAAGGGCAATGGGCTCATTATTCTACTACACGGAGGGCCAGGTACTGGCAAGACTCTAACTACAGAGGGCGTTGCCGAAATTGCAGAGAAGCCTCTATATAAGATCACTTATAGAGACATTAAATCAAAGCCTGAGGAAGTTGAACAGTTCCTCAATTCAGTGCTACACTTGGGCAAAGCCTGGAGTTGCTTCGTTCTGCTAGACGAAGCCGATGTCTTTCTTGAGGAAAGAAGTATGAGCGACATTAAACGAAATGCACTTGTTTCTACTTTCCTCCGCGTTCTAGAATATCACGACGGTATTATCATCCTCCCCAGCAACCGTGTTGGCGCTTTCGACGAAGCGTTCAAGTCGCGCATTCAACTCGCCTTGCACTATCCATCACTGACAAGAGACAAGCGCTACGAGATCTGGGCAATGTTCATAACACGGCTCCGAGAGCTTGGAGAGACGCAAGTCGACTTTTCAAACCTGGAAGACCATCGGTGGGACTTGGCGGACTATAAGCTCAATGGACGACAGATTCGAAATGCGATTCAGATATCGCGGCAGTATGTGTCTTGGAAGAACGCGAAGGAGAAGATGACGTTGAATTTTGAGATCTTGAAAGAGATTATCGAGATTTCGGGAGAATTTGATACCTATATTAACAAATTGAATAATGGGATGTCTCCGTATTAATTAGCTGAGGAGGATGGGCTGAGACTTGCAGAAGCCAGAGAGTGAGAATATATATCTACGCTCAGTTATATTGAGTTGAAAGTTGAGATTTATGAGTAGCCTGTCTAATTTTTTGAATACTGGAATTACACAGCTTAGCAAAAGTCGTTGTTCTAGTGTTAGTATTGACTTGGTTGACAAGTGGAAAGCACTTAAGTCCATTATGGTTGTAATCGTTCTTGATCATTATTAACTATGGGAGGCTAGTACTTATATAAGGAAGCGCTATCGCCTCGCTAGCTAATACAATGGCCCTCTGTGATCACACGATCGATATCTCGACACCTAGGAAACCCTTCTGTAACTGCATTCCCTTTCTACATTATCCCCTGAGGAGGAATGGTTTTCGAATCCCCACTGTTGCTGGGGGAGCTCTGTAGACATGACGGCCATTCTCCCAAACCAACGTATCTGCAAGATAAAGTGTTCCACCCCAAGCCTGATTCAATTCCCCAAACAAATCTTTGTAGTTTTGAATAATCTTCTCATTAGAAATATTCGAAATCGGAGAATTATTTATTGGACGTCTGTTAAAGGGAGTGAGAAGTTCTTTGTAACTTTCGAAATATAGTATTCTTATAATCATTTTGCATGACCAAGTTCGTGCACTACCGAGCGATCGCAACAGATCAAACTGGAATGTGCCATTCAATTTCTCTTCCAGAATAAGATGAAGTTGGAAAGGCGGTATAATTACAGTTATAGATTGCAAAAGTCCATCTCGAGCCATTTCGTTCATCGTTAAGATTGATGTAGACATGTTGGATAGACTAATTTGAAAGTTGCGATCAAACTCTACAGGAATTTCGATGTTCCTAATAAGTCTACTAGAGATCCAACTCATAGATCTGAGTGAACGATGTGCATGATCGGTGCACCCAAGTCCAAAGACAGCACGATTCCATAGAAGTTCCTTAACTTCTCGATAAATTTTCGGATGAACTTGCAACAACGATGATTTGAAAATTCTTCCTGCCAACTTGTTGTTTTCACAAGGCTCAGGTAGTTCATGGCAATATTTTGAACTATGGCAACTCCAAGTCATTGCGTCAAACTTAGATGGAATAATGTGATCATAGATCATGAGGCGGATTTCGGGAGGTACACCCGTTAAAGAGGCTAGTTTATACTGTGGTTTCGACCACAAAGTTTTCGAGGGTAGATCGGCAGTGCTTTGCCTACGAATAATTTGAGATTTACTACTGTTGTGAATCGGTAATAAAGAATTCGAGGGTCGACCGGTAGTGCTATTTCTGCGGGCGATTCGAGGTCTCTCTTGAAGTAACTTCACTTTCGCAATCATCAACTCCAACTTCTTACGCCTCTTTTCAGAATTAAATTTGAATTCGAATTTCCCCACGGTCAACTGTGAGCGAGAATTGAGAGCAACCATGTACAATGCTGCTGCAACTAAAGCACAGCTCATAAATGCAATTGGCACCAATAGAGGATGGAAAGCTCTTGTTTTCTCCATGATAGAAGAACTAAGATTTGATCGAGATGTTATATGAGGATGTAGCTAGAAGAATGAAGTATGATGGAATGAATCAAAATCTATTAGGTTGTTTGAAGTCTGAAGGGAGTATTCAGATGTTGTGAAAGATTGATATAAATTCAATTATGGAATAGAAAGGAATTAAAGTATTATGAAGATTAAAATCGTATCAGAATGACAAGTAGAAATGGATAAAGAAAGAGGGAAGGAAGAAGGAATAGAAGAGAATAAGAAGATTTTTGAAAAGACTAAATAGTGTGTGGGAAAGTTTAAAGAAGAGAAGATGAAGATTCCCCATGAACGTCATATTGACTACTAGGTAAGCTTAAATATCTAGCTCCCGTTTTTAGCGTAGATAAGCGAGAATACGTCTTGATTTCGAGAGACCATCCAAGATAGAAGTGGGAATTTGAAGAAAATAAGGAAATTTAGGAAATCGTTCGAGCTAACTAGATACCACCATAGAAGTTAGCTTCTTGGATTCTGAGCAGACGCAAGTGTCTAGCTGCATGCGACCAAGGAAAACCTGGTATCAGATTGTGCTGTATCATCACGTGATCATCACTATTTGACCATCCACCTCCAAAACCATCCATTTGTGCTCCACCAACCTATCAACTCTAGCTCCATAATCGCTATTTCCCTATGAAATCATGAAGCTCCCCCTGAGTTCCATTTTCCGGTCCCCATTGATCCGTTTCCAAGCCATTTCACGTGCATCTCGTCCAACAACCTTTGGACAATCAAATTCTCCCCACCAAATCCGCGCTTTCCTAGTCTCCACACCAAGAGCCCTCCAAACAAAAAACCTTACCTCGAGACAAAAAGCCACTGAAGAAGACAAATCCCAATCAGATGCGGCCCCACAGAGTACAGTTTCAGAAGAGATTGGCGATTTTGCAAAAAAGCATATCGAAGATGTCCCCCAGCAATCTACATCCTCTGTTACAGCAGTGCAGAAATCACTTGAACCTCTTTTGAGAGAAAATGGTGGGAAATGGGTTTTGGCAAATGATAGAATGTCTATGGAGAGGGCCATTACATTCAAGGGATTTAAAGATGCCTGGGTTAGTTTTTCTACTATTTTTTCTGAGGGCCGGAAAGCATTTACTCGGATATATACTTGGGGTTCAAAATGAGCATTTATGGTTGGAATGACCAGAGTTTCTGTGGAATGTGCCTTCCTCGAAGACAACAAGATGATCAGTAATCATCTTATGTCTCTCTTCCGTACCATTTTCCCTTGGAGATCTACGAAATTTCTACCACTTCCAAACCCATCTGCGTCCTATCCCAAATCCAAGCCAAAAAAGCCCACTTTACTAACCCCATACACACTCTCCAGAACTTTATGAACGCCATCGCAGCAAAATGCAAACAAGAGAGGCATCACCCAGAATGGGTCAACGTAGGTCTCTTGACTTCCTCCTACATTCCTCTCTCTTATTTCCAACCATCTAACACTCCCCAGATCTACAACAAGGTATTCATCCGCTGGACCACGCATGATCTTCCCGGTCTAACAGCCACCGATATCCTAATGGCCACGTTTTGCGACGAACAAGCTATCATACACAAAGAAGTATACAATGTCTCAAAAAAGGAACACCTCTCAGAAAATACCCAGCATGAAAAATTTCTCAGTCAAGCTCATCAGATTGCTAATAAGCTATCGTCGAAATGATAAAGATTAATTTAACATTTCTATATTATGAGAAGGAGAATCCATAGTCACATCAGGAATAAAATAGATGACAACATATAAGAACAGAAGACTCATTGAAACAGTGATTCAGGGGTCCAGGCCGGGCATGGAAAGACATCATGATGATGAGAGTTATTGGAAGATGGAGAAGGAGAAGAGAGAAAGCTAATAAGACCAAGGTGAGACTAGAAGATCTTGATAATGGAAAATCATGAGGATATGACGCACATGCATTGTGAAAATTCAGGAAATTGTAGTACGCGAAAGAGCAATAACTGCATGAATTACATATATCTATTAAGAACACATCCCACATTATATTAACTCAAAACACGCCTTAGACTTCTCCCATAACGCCCGAAACCCTCAGCTGGAACCAGATCTCCCTCTGCAAATTAGACATTATCAGAACACAGTCATCGCTGAGATTTCTTCTCTCGAGATTCCTTCTCCCTTCTAGCTGCAATTTCATAGAAAAGACTTCCATCATAAATTCTCCTGATGTCATCTTTCTTCATCTTTCCATCTTTAGACGATAACAAATGCCACGTTGCGCTCCCTAACATTCATTAGTACCAATCCCTTACTTTAAACTCCCAAAGGTCCCCCTGAACAGAATAAGGAAAAAGACCAAACATACATTCCAAAAGCGCAGCTGCCCAGCCTATCACATCCAAAACATTTCTCTGACTCTTGACGTACGCAAAAATCTCTCCCTTAGTAATATCCTGCTTATCACGGCCCGCATATTTACTGAAGAGATCTTCAAAATGCTGAGGGATAAAACGTCCTTCGTGATCAAAAGTTCCGGAATCACTGCCGTGTTTACCTTTGTGGATTCTCTCTGTGTGGATTCTGAGCTTGAAATCTGGAATCCATTGTCCAGGAGGGAGAGTCGGATATGAGAAAATGCTATTAATGAGCATGGCTGAGCCGACTGCGAGCAAGGGGCTCCAGCCGAGACGACGAAAACCGTTGTAGGTATCGCGGGGAGAGATAATACCGTCTGAATCGGGGTCGAAGAAAGCGACGTGTTGTTGGAGAACCTGGGTTGAGGTTAGAGGAAGAAATAAAGAGGGGATGTGCATAGTGTCCAATAGCCTGGACTGGCAGTCTAGATGCAAGCAAGCAATACTTCAAAGCAGTTCAATACTTTGAGTGAAGTCAAAACTTCAAATTAATCAAGTGTTCTGACTTAATTGAGACATTGAAGGCATCTAAACATCAGGCAACAGTCCAGACGATTGAAACCCCTAGCACGAGAGAAAACGGACAGTCAAATGCTTATTACGCTCCGCATAATTATCCTTAGTCGTCCCATGTGGTGATTCATAAGATGCTGCTATAGTTGCTCTTGCAACTCCTATATCATTCCCTCGTATTAGTAAAACTCCCTCATTCACACAAAATCAGAATACACAAACCTGCTTGAGGCAACCTCTCACTTCTGTGCTTCCCAATTGGAAACCCTCCCTCGCAAGTGTCGTCCTGCCAAAATGGCAGTCTCTCCTCTGTAACGGGACATTCTTCGATCGCCATCTGGAAATCGGGCCCTGGAGTCTCGTGCACATCAGGTCTGTGCCAGATTGGAAATCTCTCATCTGTAGTAGGAGGTTTTTTGAATGGCATCTCAGAACTTGGTCCCGAATTCTTACGGTCGTCTTCGAATGAACTTGAGTCGGTTCTTGTTGGTGCCATGATGTTCAAGTTGTTAATAGTTTCTCTGTAATTGTTTGTAGAGAATAGTATTTTCTATCTTGTTTCGAGGAAGGAGTAAAGGTACATCCATTTTATATGTTTTCCTCCTTGCCATTGTTTCCTATTCTATCTATAATATGACTCCATCAAAAAGTCCGAACGAAGGAACTCAAGTAATGTGATGCCAAAGAATTCGTCAGTTGGTCGCACTTAAGACGATGGGTAATGATCATTTGATATCACATGATTGGTTTAAAGGGCAGGACACTCGCTCGGATACTCTGGTGTCTACTAGCTAATTAGTCTATGACGTAACCTAATTAAGCTTAACCCGACTCCTTAGCATGAACATATTACATGATCCTTTATTTGACATGTGATGTAAAACTATGGTACGGTGCACATGTGTGAACCTTGGGGTTACAACAAAGTGTAAAACTTCAATCGCTTGTAAAGACGTTTTTTGGGGGGCAGGATATACTTTTCCCCCCAATCATTTGAATAAGTTTAACCTCCAGCATGTGAGGGAAGTGTAACATGATATTAAGGAGTAAAAGTCACAAATATTTCTCCGATGACCTCTTACACATGTATCAATTCAGCACCTACTAGAGTTTCTTAAGATCTTGCATTTTCCTCTCAAGGGCTGAAAGCTACCATGGTCGAAAAAAAAAGGCTCTGAAATGATAGCATTTTCATTAAACCAGGGGTTTTTAATATCTGAACCGCTGTTGACGATTGAAGGCAGGCACCAGTCGATTTGGATGAGGGGTAACGCCCGAATCGAATTCTGTCGCAAAAGAATCGTGTGTGCTTCTTGTTTTTCTATTGTTAAGTGCATATTCAAAGTAGCCTGAAAATCAGATGTTTCCCCTCATAATAAATATGGTATCGTTGTTCCACAGTTAATTGTACAACGAAACTTCCAATTTTACCACTATTCTCCTTTAGCCCACCTCTCAAATTCCGCCACCATTTCCGGAGTTATTTGCCTCTTAATCTTGTTCATTGCCGCAAGGAAATCGTCCATAACCGCCGGTTCCATTGTCCCATGCTTTTTACGTCTTTCAATTGCCTTATCGAAGGCTTTCTGGCAGATACTGACCATTTCAGCTCCTGAATACCCCTCTGTTAGGCGAGCAAGTTCGGCTACGTCAACATCTTCTCCCATCGTAGATTTACGTTGCCTAGCCCGAATAATAGCTTCTCTGCCAGCGAAATCTGGTGGTGCAACGTAGATAAGTTCGTCGAAGCGACCTGGTCTCAAGAGAGCTAGGTCTAGATCTTGTGGTTTATTGGTTGCTGCTAGTACGGTAACACCCTTTAAACTCTCGATTCCGTCCATTTCGTTAAGTAAAGTGGTGAGAACATTGACTCCATTATTTGAGTTCTTTCCATCTCTTTTGCTACCAATCGATTCGATTTCGTCAAAGAAGATAATACTTGGAGCTGCGGCTCGTGCACGGGAAAAGACGTTACGAACGGCTCGTTCAGAGTCACCGACATACTTGGAAAGCAGTTCTGCGCCCTTGACAGCAAAGAAATTGAAACCCATTTCGGTAGCAACGGCTTGAGCGGTGAGTGTTTTGGAACATCCAGGAGGTCCATAGAGGAGAAGACCTTTTGTTGGTGAACGGCCAAAGTCTTGCATAATTTCTTGGTGCTGTAGCATTGTCAGTACGAATTGAATCTTCCAGATGCTTTGAATGTCTCAAAAAGTTTAAGTTTCTCAAGCCGCTTGAGTATCCCGTTTTATTTGATCATCTCAATATGTTTGAGTGTCCAAAATGATTTGAGTATCCCAGTCGATTTGAATGTTTGGATAAGGGTGAGACCATGAAATGGCCAGTAACTTACAAGGAAAGGTGTTTCAATGGCAAGCTGAATAGCTTCTTTGACTTTGTCTTGACCTCCAATATCACTCCACTTGACCTTTGGTGGTCTTAAAGTGATATCATGCATTGCACTTGGTCTAACCTCCAGAAGTGCATGCTCGATATCCTCCTTAACGACGAAATTCTGCTGTGGCATATTGTCTTCATCTAACTTCTCTTCTGCGAAAAGTTGAGCTTCGTCCAATAAGCGAGAGAGATCTTCAGGTGTATATGCATGTGTTCGTTCTCCAAGATCATCGAGAATCTCATCGCGAGTTTCAGGGCACATTTGGGGATCCAGAGACTTAAGGATAGCTTTCCGAGCGGCTGCATCTGGGACGGGTAAAGCAATAGCTGTAGTAAACCTACCTCGTTTCCGTAATGAAGCTGGTAGTTTAAGCATATCAGATGTGGACGCTGCAACCAGAACTTGGGGTAAGGAATCCGAGGAATGGTCCTTCATAAGTTCCTCTAATCCTTCACAAATAGCATCTGTCATATCGAGTAATGGTTCGCCACCTTTTGCGACCACAGATTCAATATCATCTATGATTATGATACTCGGCTGGTTAACTTTTGCATCCTTGAAAATTTTCTGGACTTCAGATGGCTTGGTTTTCCGATCTATTTTGCGAACCTTGCCCCATTCCGTGCTGGCAATTTTATCTAGGACGAAAGTCTTGCCTGTTCCGCTTCCACCATGTAAAAGAACAGCTGGTGATCTACGGACTTTGGTAAAACAGAACTGGCGATTAAAATTGCTCAGGAACTTGTTAAGTTTTCCAAGTGCTTGATCAATGCCTGCAATATCAACAACTTGAAGGGGTCTTTGCTCAACATTGCTTGCAGCCAACATGGCTCCACTGATTTCTGCAATTGTTCCAATTTTGAAAGATGATACCCCTTCGTGAAAAGCAGCAACACCAGATTTCGAGCCGTCGATAGAAAAGACTTCAAAGGTTCGCCTTTCTCTCCTGAGCATCACATCTCTGAATGTCATGCCAGGGTAAACCAACTCGGCACGAGCTGTAATATTGTCAGTCATGCACTGAACAGAGAAAAATGTGAGATCAAAATTCCGGCCTTTCGAAAGCACAAAATCATGAGACAATGGAAGAAGACTCCTACCTAAGAGATCGTCCAGAACAAACTTCCAGGCAACCTCAGCGTCTCCTGTCAATTCCCGCATAACTCCTTCAACCATACCGACATCTTTAACTAGAATCTCCTTCGCAACCTCCAGCTTTGCTCCTCTAGCAACAATCACATCGTCACTTAATTTGAACCCACATGCCTCTTGGAAAGCTTTACTGACTTGTACAACTTTCCTACTTAATTTTTCTGTGGCCAACCAAATTACCGCCTCTCTTCTCGTATGTTCGCCCTCAGAGCTTTTCCATAAATAGCATGTTTCTCCATTCTTAACTTGAAGATCCAAAAGAACGTCTGTACAAACATATACACGTGCTACATTTCTGAAATCCGGCCTTTCTTGAGATTGCGCTTGATATGGACGAACTTTTAGTTCTAGAATTTTTTCGGTTGTCATCCTGACCTCTTTTATGAAACAGTCAAAATACTGATCTTACGTATTTGAAGGAAAAGAAAAGTTGAAAGTTGAAAAAGGAAAAAATATAAAAGTCTGGTCAATGGAGGGGTAGAAAGTAAAATAAAATTATGGTCAGCCTTGCCAAGGAACATGGGTACATCTTTGAATTGTATTTTACCGCTTTTATTCTGCCGATCAAAGTTCCCCAAACCAATTAATTTTCCCCATCTCCTCCAGCCTTGGCCCCCTCTTCAATCATCCCTCTCATGACCAATGCACTCCTCCCGCCTTCTCCCCCCCTCATTCCTCCTCCCATCATGGAATACTCGACAACTACAATGTCTCTTTCAACGGCGTCACGTATACCAAAAGACACGCACTCGCAATCGCGACGGAGAACCTCCAAAACCAAAAGGTGAATCTCTCTTTGGAGTACGACGTCTCGACCTCACTCCAACTATTAAACCACCTACTTCTCTTTTCGAGGAACTCTTCCCAGAGGAACAACAGAAGCCTCCTTCATCTTCACCGCCCTCCAAACGTTTCAAACCTCCACCTCCGAGGTTTCCAAAACTGCCTACATTTGACTGGACATCTAATATCGAGACATTTGACGAAGCGGAAGTGCGGAGACGAGCTGCGGAGAAAGAGAAGAAGGATTGGAATATTGTGGGAAAGGAGAGAGGAAGCGAAGAGGAGGATGCGGTTCAAAGGCGGGAGGCTAGTGTGTTGATTTTGAATTGTGCGAGTAAGACATTGGAGGAGAGTGACTTTTTTAGATTGAGTCCGAAGGGTGAACATATTGAAGGTTGGACGAGTGGGATTATTAAGAGTGTGTACTCCACGTTTTGGATTCCTATTTTATGTCTACATGGCAACGTCGCTATGTTTACATATAGCTAACTTTACCTTCAGTTATCCCTGGGCGCGATCCCCAAACTCTCGAGTCCCTAGGTCACTACTTCATTCTCTTTAGTTCGCGCGCTGCGGCTCTGGCCTACTTCCACCGAACTATTGAACTACACACGCTCTCTCGAACCTACAGCCCTAACAGCATCCCTCTCCCACTTCAAACCTCCAACCACTCCTCTCGAAGTCCCGATCGTCCCCCTTCGACTCTCCCTCACTCCCCAACCGAACTCCAAAATCTTCTCAAAAACTTCACCCTCGTCCCCCCATATACACGTCTTTCACTACGCATTCTTCAAAAACCTTACCGGCCAGCGATGACCACCCTTTTGGCAACCGGCGCTCCCACCACGCTCACCCAATCCCGATCCCAATCCCACACCATCGACACTGTCCTCTTCACTCTCACCATTCCAAGCATTGGACTCAGTTCCTGGGGTCTCCGAGAAATCCTCGACGCAGACGGGAAACGTCGCAACCTACACTGGCGCTTCGCTCAATCTGGGGCCATCGTCCGTGTTGGCGAAAAGATCGATCCTGCAACTGGAAGTGAAAAAACAGAAATAGGTTATCGAGGAGAAAATATTATTGGGAGGAAAAAAGCTTATAATACGAGTGGGAGATACATAATTTCATTTATGGATCGAGCGGAAGCGAGAAGATTTGTGAGAGAATGGCATAAGAGACCTTGTCCGTTGCAGAAGGAGTATAAGGAGGGAGACGAACCGCCTCCAATTGCTAATGTCGAAATTATGTGGTAGTGAGGGACGGGAAAGGAGAGGGGGGATGCTTTGAAAGTGAAATGAAGATGTGAGAAAGAAGGAACGCGTTGAAGGAGTTCGACAGAAGCAATGTTAGTAATGATGCCTGGTCACTCATTGAGAAATCGAAAGAACGAAGACACTTTTTGACGTCGCATCTCGCTGCACCACTTCACATCCCATCCCATCACTTGGGCGAATGAGTGGTGAAGCCAAGATAGGACAAAAATTCTTGCGAGAGAGAGAATTGGTGCCAGGGAAAACACCAATCGCATGCTACAGATACCAAGATGTGAATAAACATCACCACAGAAGTACAAGTCCCAATTATCCCGTATTATATTAATATGTTATATTTCTTGCTAGAATCTAGATGTATACATATCTCAGTTATTATAGGGAAGTAAATATCAAAGAAAAAGGACAGCAATATATATGAAGATGAAACAATAAAAAATACATATTAAAACATGATGGATATATTATACTTTACTATTTCATTTACTTACTCACTTACTCACTTACTCACTTACTCACTTACTCACTTACTCACTTACTCACTCACTCACCTACTCCCAACATAAAATATAAAATATACTTACAATCAGATCTCATCCCCTCTCAACCCCCAATATCAAATCCATCTCCCAATATCAAACCTACCTACCTACCTCCAATTCACATCCCAAAACTAACATTCAATTCATTACCTCCTCAGCTTCTCAACTTCTCACCTCCTTCAATCCTCGCCTCCTCCAATCCTCACCTCCAATCCTCACCTCCAATCCTCACCTCCAATCCTCACCTCCACCTCTTTTCATCTCATATTCTCATCTCATATTCTCATCTGCATGTACTTCCTCCCCTCACTAATAAGTATATATACATACAAATCCTTATTAGTGTTATTATATCTCATACACATACACATACACATCACAATCACAAAATCACCACTCAAACTCCTCAACATCATGAAAATCAACATGAAAAAAAAGAACACGCCTATCAATTTAATACCATATAAATACGCATAATCACCCAACTCCGGCTTCTCTCTTAGTAAAAAAAAAGGTAAAAGTAAACAAAGCAATGGTTATGCACTACCAACCCACAAACACCATTCTATTGCCTCTCGCACTGTGCTTAACCACTGTCCTTCCTTCCCAGTCCTTCCCTGCTTCTTCCGACCTCTCTTCTCCTGTCCTCTCCTCTATAGAATCAAATCATAAAATAATCTCTCCATCTCCCCCTTTGCTTCTACCGCAATCATATCATATCATATTATATCATCGAACCTCTCCCCCGGACAACACAACATCCCTCTTCTAACAACATTTACTTCCACCTCCACTACTCTGACCACCCACATCAACACCTTGTTGCGCCGCCTGATCTATCTTACTCGTATCCACGATTCTCTTCTTGATATCTGCTGCCAAACTGTAGAATGCCTTTTCTACATTAATGTTACTCTTGGCTGATACCTCGAGGAAAGGAATGCCGAGTTCATCTGCTAATTGTTGACCGCGTTCGGTGGATACAACTCGTTTGTCTTCCCAATCGCACTTGTTGCCTATGAGGATCTTGTTTACACCTTCGGTGGCATGTTGTTCGACGTTGCTGAACCAGGTGCGGATATCTAGGAGGGAGTTGTTAGTAAGATTCTTATGACGATTTGTATTTGAACGTTGTCTTGTTGTATCCCCCTTTGCTGCAAAAAAACAGCACTCATCCATTCATCATCCCCTTCGATCTGCCCAGTCCATACCAAGAGATGACATCACCTCTTCTCACAAACCCCATCTCCCATCCACGAATAAAAAGGAACAACGTACTTGTAAAAGATCTCTCATCTGTAACATCATAAACAAGCAAGATGCCCATGGCCCCCCTATAATACGCCGTGGTAATCGTCCTAAATCTCTCCTGGCCCGCCGTATCCCAAATCTGCAACTTCACTCTCTTTCCATCCAACTCAATTGTACGAATCTTGAAATCAATTCCAATCGTGGTGATGAACGAAGGTGTGAAACTATCCTCGCTGAAACGCAAGAGACAGCATGATTTTCCTACACCGGAATCGCCTATCAAAAGGAGTTTAATCTATTTGCACAGAGAGCATGTCAGTATTTGTCTTTGTCTTTGTATTTGCGTATGAGTTGGGGATTGAATAGGGGAAGTAGAAGGAAGGGCTTGATTGATAAACAGATGGATTGATTGATTAGAACCCAGGTTCGTAAACAACCTCACCAACCATCAAACAAACAGACCGTCAATCCAACATACCAAAAAATCGTAATTCCTGGTTCCGGCCATCTTGTCTGAAATCGCACTCGAGTAGGGAGCTCAAGTACAGTCTTTTGAATATTTGGATAGCCTTGTAAATGCGGCGTTGTCAAATCCACAAGATCTGATCACTTTCGTACACTTCGTCCGTGTCCTTAGTTTCCTTTTGCTGGGTCTCTTGGTCTGGTCTACACCTGGCACCGAATTCGAATCGTCTACCGTAACGAAATGAGATCGCTGGAAGAAATGTGTGGGGTACAGGGTGCTGTGGGTCGAGAAGAGTTACTTTATTTATCGTGTGTGAGGGAGGACGTTCCGTTCTGTTGATATGTAAAGTAAAAAGGTGATACGAGATATCGATTTCGAGAAGTGCCGGTTTGGACGGGGGTTTCAAAAGATTCACTTGTATGGACACTTTCTCTGCTGCCAGTGTCGTGATTGATCACAAAACAAAATAACACCTGCAATTGATGTAATGCGTAATTCCTACGGTTCTTTCCTAATAAATCTTGGGAATTGGTTGATAGAAGACGGGATATGAAAGTTCCGAATTTCGAGATCTGGATAGGGAAGTATGTATGTATCAATTTAAGATTCAGTACCTACCTAGCACGTCCGTTGTCTGGTGTTAAACGAGTATGCGGCGTCGCGTCTACTGTGGCGTTTGTTAACCAATGTCTCTCATCTATCAAGTACGTACGGTGTGCAGAGTCAAATCGTTGGAAAATGTTGCCAAAAGAATATTATGGTACATTAGAAAGCTTCTAATACTGACACCTTCCGATCAACTGCCCTAAATAGACCCTTGGTTCTCACACCAGTTACTATGTAGATATACATCCCTAGTGTCCTCATACAGCTTATACGACACAAGTTACTCCAAACTTTAAACATTCAGAGCTAGATATATCTAGGATAAGTAGACTTCAAAGGATCAAACTTTTAATAGTTGACTCTTCAAGCAGTTAAGTGTATAGAGTCAATATTACATCCTCTCCGGAAAGAAAATCTATATCTGGAGTGTATTTATCTTGAATTTTTTCTGATATCCATTTAGAGGGCTGTGCTAGAATTCAAGATTAGTAGTCTTGCCACTCATCTCTATAAATAATATTTGCAAATATTCGCATATCCATACAACAATAATGCACACAAATACGTACGATCAAATCTCGATAGCTACTAAATTAGAGTATTCTCAGTCTTGCGACTAGGTCATCATTTCTTTATCCATGCCATGCCATTCCATCCCGTCATCTAATCATATCATATCATACCATACCATATAAATATCAATATCACTCGCTATGCAAATATTGCTTTCTCCTTTCTCCATCCTCCTTTCAATACTGTACACTTCACCTAGAATCCACCTCTCTACCCTTCTCCTCCTCTCCTCCCCTCCCCTCCCCTCCCCCTCCCCAAAACTACCTCAACCACCTACCATAACTCCACCTAATCCTCTCCAAAACCTTGAGTTGCACCTGAATACCACTATTGATATTACAAAGATCCCCCACATCCTCCAAGAACTCTCTCTCCACATCCCCAGGAAACAAACTATGAGCTCTCTTCCTCAAAACATGAACTTCACACAACAGCAATCCATGATCTTTGTATGAGAGCAAGTTATTCTGCGTAGGCGTAGCAATTGTAAGGATTCGATCAATATTTCTCAAGACCCTCGCGGTTCGCCCCGCTCTTTCACCTCGTCGAAGTCCCTTGCGTGAGCCGAGTAATGTTCCAAAATATCGGAAAGTCGCGAAACAGACCAGAACACCAGGAGTTAGACCTAAAAAGCCAAAGACAAGCTCTTGACTCTTGAGTAGCGCATCGATACCACTTAGCGCAACCTCCACATCGACTTTAGTCTTTTGTACTTGAATCAAAACTGTTCTGATTAAGTCTCCTCTGACGGTTCCTACAAATGGTCGTTGCATATCCTTTTCATAAGCGCGAAGAACGGGTGTGAGATCACCTGCCTTGACTTTGGCTTTGATTTCGGTGATTTGTGAATCATTCAAAGCGCCAGTCCCGTAATTTGCGGCTTCTGGGTTGTCGCGAGCGAAATCTACCACCATCCTTTCCAGACTTTCCATGTCGCCCTTTAGACTCTCTTTACTCATAATTGCCACTTCGCTATCCTTGTCATGGCGAATTGTCCCGATGACCTTTAGAGTAGGATCAACAACCCAGTTCATCCAGAAATCTTGAATGGTAGATCCAAGTTCTCTGATCCAGGTAAGAACCTCTGCTTTTCTGTTCACCAAGATTCGCAATATAGTCGAAGACGAAAGTAACAACATGCTAGCCGGTAACCAGTATCTAACGAGTCTTGAAGGTCGTCCATATTCCGAGACAAGTTTTTGTGAATTCGTAATATGCTTCGGTACATGAGTAGAGAGGATGTGCTGCAATCTTCTCGACACCTTGCTCGTCCTGTTCGCTTGTGAATTGTCCGCACTCGAAATCTCTGGGTCATCCTCCACACTAGCAAACACAGTATCCTCGAAATCCGAAACTCCCTGCTCAAGAGCCGTAACATTTCGAAGCACATTATCCATCAGTGCCACACTCCTTTCCACCACATCTTTCCACTCCGAGTTTTCTGACTCCTCGGCTTTCAAACCCGCACCCTCTTCATCGATATCAAAACTCAACGCTTCATCCATCAGAACTCCTAGTCCACTGGCTCCCATCTCCCTAAACCTCTTTAACCTTGCCTGATTCATCTTCGCCTTCGACCTCCCCAACGCAACAGGACTCATAACTCTCTTCTGCACCTCCACCACGCTCCTCTCCCTGATACTCTCCCTCACCAACCCATAAAACATACTCCATTGCCCTGCGACTCCCTCTCTCACATCCCTCCCACCCTTTCTAACCGCGCTTCCAGGCGCTTCCTTCAAATGCACCAATCGCTCTCTCGAATCACGATAAATATCCTTTCCCCAATCCCACAACCTCTGCGGCGAAGTCTGTATCGTGTACAGTCCTGAATATGTATATGATCCGAGCACTTCATCCCAATACCAAATATCATCACTTAGCGGAATCGTTTGTTCCAGCAGCGTATTCAATATCAACCCATATGTTTGCACCGTCGCCTTACTAACCAACAACCACTCCAATTCCCTCTCATAGTTCTTCAGATAAGCATTTACACCTGCTCTCCCATTCTTGTATTCCCTTTCCTCCTCCTCCTCGTCATCCTCATCCTCATCCTCATCCTCATCTTCATCCTCAATTTCTTCAGTCTGCACCGAACTCTTCAAATCAGCCTGTTCCAACAACCGACTAATCTTCCCACCCGAGAGCAACGCGCTAGAACTCGACGTCGTACTCAATGCCTTAACCAGCGCCTGTAACTCCGCTATGCGCGGCGACGAAGCAACCTTTGCATGTTGCGCGGACACCAGACTTTCATCTGCGGGGTAAGGGAAGGGAGCGAGCTGGACGCGGTCGAGCTGGGCGTCGACTTTTCGTATTTGGCTATTTGGCAGAGAGTGTTAGTAACGTGTTTGCGAAATGAACTCAATATGTATTCATTTAGAGAACAAACGCAAATCCCCAAGCATTGGATTCTCCAAATCTCCAAATAACCATATCATTAACTCTGCGAGTTACACAGGAAACCATCTCTCTACCAAAGTACTCCCATATCATATCTAAACAACCCCTCACACGACCCCACAAACAACCTCCAAAAAAACAAGCCAAAATCGAAATCAAAAACAATAAATCAAATCAAAAATCAAAACACCTCCCCAACCCAATAAAAAAATCACTTACTCTGCAACAATCGACATCCTGCCACCACCAACATCGATGTACAACTTTATGGTATCTGAAGCTCAGAATCTCGATGCGGGTGTAATGTTCAAGACAAGCTCAGGCAAGGTTCTAGGATGATTGATTGTTGGAGAGTTCGCTCGCTTATGTACAATTGAAAGATGACGCAGCCTGGCAGTTTGAAGAGCGACTGGTTTGTGGATGAAAATACGAATACTATTGTTTAGGTTAGAGTGCATTGCCTCAATATGATGATTATGAAGAGTGTATCGTTTCTAGGCTTCAAAAAACTACGATATGATAATACAGTATCACGAATTCTCGAGACACCAAAATTTGGTATCACGTAAGTGGGAGATGAGAGGGGTTGAAGTCTTTAACTACCCACCAGCTGTTACGCTTGATAAAGGAGCCAAAAGGCTTCTGATATTCAAAATCTATATACTCCATATGCTCTACAAACTCTACACAAATATATGTACAAATCCCATTCTACATCCTTAAAATGAACTTCCAGCTATTGGTTCCGGCTCATACTCATCTTGCTCACCCAAACTCATATTTTCGTCCTCGAAATCATCCCAGTTGTTAACCTCTTCTTGGGACTGTGATTTTTGTGCATCGAGAGCCATAGCCCTTTCCATGATTTCAAGAGTCTTATTTCTAGCATCCTTCTTGTCTTTCTGATCGTCTCCGCGCATCATAGCAAAGATCGTATGAGCTTCTTCAATAGCCTGAAGAAATGTTTTCAATCTTGGACCAAGCTCCCTTTTTCGCAATGCCGTTCGCGTGTTCTTCAATATGCCTTTCATACGTGGGTCCGGTACGACTTGATGAACAGATAACATATTTGTGATCCAGACGATCCCTCTAGGTTCTTTCATACCAATGTAAGCTTTGAGAAGGATAGTAAGATTAATCACATTTGGTCGAACTGTTGCGCTGTGAGTCTGCGAAACTTCTGTCCAGAATGCTATTGCATCCCGAAAGTATCCATTTCGGACAAGGATGTTAGTAACTTCATTGAACACAGGTTCTGGCACAATAAGCCCATGCTCCTCCGCCTTGGTGATTGCTTCTCTGGCAGAAGTCAAGAACATGATCAGACGACTGCTTCCGATGCGCTCCATGAAGCTTGGTAGTCGGTGAGTAAGGAGCGTGACAAGAGCGTCATCCAACAAATAGCCTTTGCGTTTCGCGTCTTTGAGAAGCTCAATAGCCATGTGCGTATCGCCATC